CTCACAAAGACGGAGAACCAAGACGGAGCTTGATTGTCGGCTCGTGGTTTGTAGAGAAACGTGTGAATCTTCTTCGATGACCACCGTCGCTGGGAACCTCTGTAAAAAACATGTTTCCACAAAACTGCGATTTTCAGCAAAGCACTCACTTGAATTCGGGCCACTCATCTTTTCTCCAGATCTACTTATCGCAGATGTACTTCTGGGCAAGCTGACGAAGCGATGACTCGAGCCTAGAAAATCAATAAATATTGGAACATTACATATTTCAGTTACTCACCTCAAAAAAACGTCGAAAATCGAGCTTTATTCCGTTCGCTCACTTGACTCATCACTGCACGAGCCCGTTGCATTGGACTTCTCACCTTAATAAATCATTTGAAACTTTTTTCAACTAATTTTCACTGAAAAAAAGGGGAAAACGAGAAAAAACGAGCAAAAACGAAAGAAAACATCGAAAAAATACTGAAAAAATATTCGTCTTCTCGGCCTAATGCATTAAACTATGATTGTCAGTCAACGAGAGCCGGCAGCCAATTGAGAATTTTTGGAAAATTTACTGGGGCGCGCTTTCTGGCCCCCTTGCCTGAACCCAAGTGCGTGCTAGTTTTTTTTTTCAATTGGGACAACATGGACTAAAAGCTTGGGTACTAGTTTTTAGGAGTTTTCTAGGCCACCGATGCGGAAAAGCTCAATTACCGTGAAAACTCTATTTAGATAGCCACCCCTAATTGAATGCCAGCGTCTAATACATTGCCACCCCAGAGCACCTTCGAACAATAGAGTGCCACCCCCTAATTGAAAGCCAGCCCCTAATATAACGCCAATACTGATAAAAATTTGATGTCGTGATAAAAATTTGATGTCGTTGTGATAAAAGTTGATTCAATGAGGGATCAAGAAGTTTTTAAAAGTATACAATTAACAAAAATTCCGGGCAGTATTTGTATTGATCCGAACAATAGAGTGCCATGGCTATCTAATAGAGTTTTTACGGTATCTCGGTTCCCATGAGAGATATCAAAAATCTGCCTCTTGATTTCAAAAATCTAACAATAGTGAAATTATTTTTCTAAATTCAGCTATTTCAAAATATTTTTTCCAGTTTTTGAACCAACCAAACAAATTCTAAACGCTTCCTTATCTACCATCTAAATCAGATAATAAAAGTTTATACTTCCCGGAATCTCTCGAAAATACTCTTGGGACCACCAAACTTGGAAACTTCTACCCGCCCCATTTTTCTTCTCCAAGCAATTTCTCTACGTTTTCTGAATCATCATCTCTTCTGAATCATGAATCTTTGAGTATACCAAAAAATTCGTGAAGCCGTCGACGAGGAGGACGACGTCGATATACAAATTGAATCAACTTTGCGCTTCAACGCTTACACTTTTAACTTTGAGCGGCAAGAGAGAAAAAAAAAGTTTTTTGGAGGGGAACCAAAAATTTTGAAAACGTTTTTTCCGATTCTTGAAAACACACACTTTTCAAAGATTTTGTTTTTTTTCCAGAAACATCAGAAAACATAAAATAAAGTTGAAATGAGATTTTTTGAGATGTGTGCTGCAACACTTTTTGTTTGTTTTTGGATTTTTGGGAAATCAGAAATCCAGTTCTTGCAAAATCTCTATGGAGAAGGGACCGATATTTAAAGTTTTCGAATATCCAAACGTTGAACTTTTTAAACAACCGAGTTTCCGGAATTTGGTATTTTCGCAACCAAAATTTGGAATTACAGGTAGTCGAAATTTGTTCAACTTTCAAAATCACAATTTCGGTGAATCTGGAATTACGAATTCTTTAAATTCGTCATTTTAGTAGTTAACATTTAGAATTGTTTGGAATTTATTGTTCTATGCCCAAAAGTTCGAAAACTTAAAATTTGGGAATATCTGGTATTTTCGATTTTACGAATTTCTGTATTTCCGATTTGAAATATTATAATCTAGGATTTTTTCAGTTAAAAATATTGAACTGTGGAATTCTTTAGAATTAACTATTCAATATTCAAAACATCTGAAATTTCAGAATTTTGGAATCGAATTTCGAAAATTTCGACGTTCGTATTGGAAGTAATTCAATTTCTGGAAAATTAAAACTTTGGAATTTTCGGAATCTTTCCAATTTCATAATAACTTTTGATTTTCCAAATTTCAATGTTATGGGTTTTTGGAATTTTTCGAAATGTTTGATTTTTGGACTTTCGAATTCTCGGAATTCTATTTTCTATTTTCTGACTGAAAAATCTCCTGGCTCCCCTTCTATGGGCTAATTGGGGCCCATTGCTTTCAGTATTTTTTCAATAACAACATTTTTCATTATCAACCATAACCAATTAGCCATGGAAGTGTTTCTCACACTTTTTCTGCCTACTCCTCCCCACAATTCCATTTGTCCCATTATTCAGAGATCCATCGTCTCTTCTCTTTCGTCTCCCAGCAATCCAAACTAATCGGTTCTCTTGTCGTGTCCCAATGGCATCAATGTCTTCTTGCCCTTCTTTTATTTCTATTTCCTCTCTTTTTCCATTCATAATTATGGCAATTTGATTGCTCTTTTCGCTCTTCTTCTCCTTCTTTGAAGAATAAAATGGGACCACGGCATAAAATGTACATTCGAAATCTATCCCCTTCCCCCGAGTTGATTCGTCATTTACTTCCCCTCATCATGATGATGATGATGACGGAGAGTATTCAGAATCTTCGAGTTTCAAGTTTTAGAACTTGGTCTTGAATTTAGTCTTGGAATCTGTGAATTTTAAAAGTTTAAACTTTGATTTCAAACTTCCATAATTTTGATTTCTGATTTAAATTTACCCAAAATTCAATAAGTCCGAGACTTTCAAATTCCGAAAATCAAAAGTTCCAAAAAAATCCGAAGTCTCATTTGTGCGATTTTTGACTGGAAAGTATTTAAAAAATCGAACTTGAGTTCAAAAACCGAATCATTCTATTTCTGAACGGATAAAAATTGAATCACTCATAAAACATTAAGATTCGCAAAATCAAAAACTGCAGATATTTAAAAATCAGAAATTTCCAATAAAAAAATAATCCGAATTTTAATTTCATATGTATACCCGAAAATTTTTGAATTCACCTCTAAAAACAACAAAAATCCTTTCACAATTAAACATCCTGAAATTATAAAAGTTCCGAAATTTCACAAATTCGAGATATTCCGAATTTTCAAAATTTTCAATCCAGAATTCCAAAATCTTATAATTTCATAATTTTCTTGCAAAAATACGGAATTTCGGATTTCGAAGAAACTAAAATTAAAAAAATACGATATTCCAATAATCTGAAAAGCCAAAATTTTCAGAAGAATAAGTTTTTAGAATACTAAAATTCAAATTTTGAAAAAACCAAAAGGACCAGAAAGTCCACGAATCGGAATGTTTCGAATTTCTGAAAAAAATGTTTCAGTCGAAATTTTGAAATTTGTGTTTTTTAATTTTTGAAATTTTAAAATTTTGAAATCCCACCAAAAATCTTTTCAGACCTCTTGTAGAACAGCTGAAAATGAGTTAATACTCTTAAAACCATAGATCCCCCTATTCTGGATATTAATTATTTTTTATGGTGCTTTCCAAGCTTTTCTTTAGTATTTTTCTTCTTTTTTTCTCGAAGGAACAAAAAAAAATAATAATATTTATAACTTTATAAGAAAAGAAAATGGATAGAGTCAGTTCTCCCAAACCTAGTTATCAGAATAAAAATAACAGAATTGTAATATATATATTGTAATATATATATTATAATTGTAATATATATATTAGTGATTCTGAAAATTATGTGGTTCCGTGTATCTGGAGAGAAAAGAAAAAACAAAAATATCAAATATCAGTTCCAAAGGATTTTTTCTTCTGGAAAAAGAACAAAAAGTGTTTATGAAGAGAGCATTTTTCCAGTCTGGATGCCAGGATTATTAGCTATATTTTTTGTTGTGATTTGCTAATTTAATATTCAAAACTGTTTAAAAATGTCAGTTTTTTGCAAAAAACTATCAAGACCTCCCAGTCTTCCAGTCTCTTGACTCATTTTCCCGGTAACTTTAATTGCTTCCGTATCCATTTTTCTATTTCCATTTCACATTCCCATTTGAAAACAAAAACCCTCTCCCCACTTGACTCGTTTTTGAAATACTACCACTTCCAATTTCTCTTTTTGCTGAATACCTCCCTATAAATAGGTGTGGCGTCATTTTTAGATCACTTGGGTGTGCAGAAAAAATATTGATATATTCTTGATACAATTTATTTTCTGACTTGATTTTTCACCTGGAAGTTCCCAAGCTGTTTTTCCTATCAAACCAGTAGCAGCTTTAACTCGAAGAAACCACAATTTAGCGTTTTCCAAACCTCAAAACGTGCCTTTATCGTCGATTTTTGTGTTTTAAACCCAACACATCAATTTTTACACTATCAAAAACCTATATATCCCAAAAGGAATCGAACTTTTTGAGTCATTTTGCCCAAAAGTCTATCCTCTTCCCACCTAAGCTATCTTTGCCTGCGCGGTTAGCGCCACTAGGTGCCGCGCTTGTGGCGCAACTGGTAAAATAGTGAGCTTTGATGCGAAGTCCCATAAGTTCGATCCCTTTGGCCACCAATCTCCAAAACGAGAACATTCTAATGGATTTCTAGGCCACCAACCTCTTCCACATGATACAGAGAAATATACGCCTATATATGTATGTCTAGATGTATGAAATATTCCCACGCGGTCTTCTTCATTTTCCCTTGTTTAAAAAGTACCCAACATCTGCTTTTTCCTGCTCACAAACATTCATTTTTTATTCTTTGACCCAAGTTTTTCCTTCTCTTTGTCTTTTTTCCATGGGAAGAGTAAAAAGTGCAAAAGATGAAAAATCGAGATTTTTTAAGCGAATTGGAAAAAAATCACATTTTGAAGAGTATTAGGCAACAGGCTTGGCGGGAATCCGGATTTTTTCTTTTTTTTACCTAGATTTTGAATATTTTCAGGCGCTGTTCAATGCCCTCACTATCAAAAATGCCGTCTGCTGCCCGTCAACTTGTCTCCAATATGCTCTCATTCTTATCCTCTCCATCTCCACAAAACAAGTAAGATTTTGAAAATTTCAAATTCTCCAAAAATTAAAAATTTAAATTCCGTAAAACCTGTAAAAGGGTCCCTTAATTTTCAACTTTGAGCCAATTTACCTCCGTTCCTGTAAAAGATATCAAAAAACTTTAAACTGATAATTTGTTGATCATAATATCACAAATACTTTATCAGTTAACAATTTTCGTGAAAGGATTCTATTACAGATTTCAGGGTATTTGGAATCTAGAATTTTCAGAAAACGCCGGTTTCAAGATACGCAGATTTTTGATTTCTAATTTTTTATACAAATTTTCATGACTGGCATAGTCTAAAACTTTTTAAAAATCCTTAGAATTTTCTCAATTTCGGAATTTTCTGTAACGTTAAATCTCAGCTACTTTTTAAAACACATTTTTTCTCATTTTTCAAATTTCTCGGATATTGTTGGACTACCCGAAAATCGCTAAAATCGAAAAAAAATTCAGTGTAGTCTGGAATTTTCATTTTTCCCATGAGGTGCCCACCTTTGGGAAAATTGTGAATCATATGTGATTTTTTGTGCTTTTGCAAATCTGCAAATATTTTTTAGCCAGCTCGCCTAGAAAAAACTAGGCCACATTTTCTTTAATTTTATACAAATCGTAGATCAAAAACGGGCGGCGGTGGAATATGTGAAATACAAGTCGGCTAACAGGAAGTTGCCGCCCAATTTTTTGAATTTAAAAGACAAAAAAAACTTTTAAAAGTGAAAATTGATATCTGGAAAAAAGAAGGAAGAGAGATGGGTGCAAACAGAACTTTTGGCTTTTTAAAGAAATTTTAAAAGGTTCAAAATGCAAACAAAAATTGAATCAGAGACCAAAAAGACAAACACTTGAAAAGCTGAAAATTTCAAATCAGAAACTCAGAAATTTAGAAAAATTCCCCAAATATATTTATTTTTCTAAAAATCCCAAATTTTATGTTTTCCATATTTGTATCTTCTTTTTCCGTCCCATCCATACTATATTTTATCGAATTGTTGTATTAAATTAGATTCATCTTCCAAGAGAAAACTTTTTTTGAAAGATCAGGTAGACATTTTTATGGAAACTTTTGTAATCGGAAAATATGATTCAAGAGCATTTCTATTTAATTTCCGCTTATCCCGGAATACAATTTTTCGGAAATCCCATGGTATTTCTTTCATTTTTCGGCAACTATCGTAATATTTATATTCTAGAGATTGAGTTTCAGAATTTATTTTTAATTTCTGACAAAATTCGCAATGAATTTTGTGGTTTTATTCTATTTCGAAAATTCTCCAGATTAAAAAAAGGCTCTAAAATTTTCCAAAATTCGTATTTTTTCTAGAATTTTCCAAAGAACAGAAATAAGACTTTGATGTAGAAATTAAATCGTTTGATGGAAAACTACTGCTAATTTATTCCTCCAAAAAACATTTTTTGAAATGGACTTTTCTGAAAATTGAGGGCAATTCTTGATAATCTTAAAAAATCAAATATGAAGATCCTGAAAATTTAGTTTATAATTTTGGAAATCCTGATTTCTGAGTTTTGAGAAAATACCTGTAATCCTAGAATTTCAGAATCTTAGAGTCTCAGGATCTCAGGATCTCAGAATCTCAGAATCTCAGGATCTCAAAACCTCTGAATCTCCAAATCTCTGAATCTCTGAATCCCATAATCTAGAAACCTTAGAACATAAGATACTAGAAAACCATAATCTCAGAATTTTAACAGTAAAAAAGTCAAGAATCTGAAAACTCCAAGTTTTGAAAATTCGGGAACCCTTCGAAAATTTCAGGGAAAAAAAAATAAACAAAGTATTTCATAATTCCGGAGACGCTGAAAGTTTTAGATTCTCAGAATTTTAGAATTTCTGTAGTTTCCCAAATCCCTGAATCTTAAAAAGTTTTGAATTCAAAACTAGCTATCTTGACCAATTTCTGGTTTTTGGCCATTCCAACCTATTCTTTCCCCACACAAACAAAATATCCAATGTCAACCCACCCAACCAAAGCTTGTACCCAACCTTTCACTTATTTCTCTTTCTCTCTCTCTCTCTCTCTCTCTCTCTCTCTCTCTCTCTCTTTCTCTATCTCTCTCTCTCTCTCTCCATAAGGACCAATATGTAAGCTCTAGGAGCACAAAGAAAAAAAAGTTGCCCTTTTTCGGAGACACAATAAGGGGAGGAAGAATGTAAGAGACCCCCCCCCCCGCCTCTCAAATTTCGAATGCAAAAGATTTGTGCTCATGTAAAAAGGAAAAAGGAAAAAAGCTCTCGTTTTTGCTCTCTTTTTCAACTGAATGGGGTGTAAAAAGCACAAAAAAAACAAACATTTTGTTTCCCTCACCCCTTTTTTGCCTTGTCGTTTCCATTTCACGCCTTCTTTCCTTATTCCTTCCTTCTATTTTTTCGATTTTCGCAAAAATGTCTCTTGGGAGATATTAGACGCCGCAACTTCTGGAGCAGATTCGAATGCTCCTTCTTCTCTATTTTCTTCTTCCTCTCCTTAACGTCTTCTGAATACTTCTGTCCCACGCACGATGTTTGTTTTGTGACGTGGTGTCACTATGGAAGCCGCCCAATTAATGAGATTCTGAATTATTTAGAATCCATGTGTAGAACAATTCTGGCGCCTGCAGATGGGAGAAAATATTTTTTGAAGAGTGTTTTCTTTAAAAAAATGTGAAAAAAGTCAACTCGGAAGTTTTGACATCACGACTTCCTTCCGATTTCTAGGAAATCCGAGAAAATTTAGATAAATTCTCTGAACTTTATATAGATCAGAAGAGGAAAAAAATTATGATGATATGATGACCTAGACCAGTTTCTCTGCGTCTCTCTCTCTCTCTCTCTCTCTCTCTCTCTCTCTCCCTCTCTCTCCACCTCCAACTTGCACATTTTGAGCTCAATTATCTCGGTTCCTGTAAGCGATATCAACATTTTTCCAACAAATAAAATGTTTATCATATTATCAATAACATTTTATCAATTGACTAGTTTTTGATCTCCTCTTACAGTAATTGAGATAATTGAGCTCAAACAGTAGGAAGTAACATTTCGGGCATTTTCTAAATACATTCCAACTATTAAAATGATTTTTTAAACTAAATTTGACTAGAGCGACTCCCAATTATTATAGCGTCTCTATTTTTCAAAAAATCTGCAAAATCAAGAAGCGAATCTAAAATGGATGAGAATTCTAGAGAAATTGAATTGTTGGTGGGATTTGCAGAAAATTCAGAAAATTGGATTTGAAAATTCCCTATTATTTTTAGTACGTTTCTCATTTCCTCCTCCTCTCCCGATTTGTCTATATAGTCAATCTGTCTTAAGGAAATGAAGAATCGGGGATTTCAGTTTCCAAAAATTTTTTCGTACAAGTCATTATTCAGTCATTATATACATGGATTGTCGTTTCAGAGTTGTCTAGGCTATTTTTTCAACAAAAAAAAACAATTTTTAAAGTTTTTCTTTGAAAACTTTCCAAATTTTCCTTCATAACTAATCTGCAAGATATTACACTGACAATCTTTATAAATGAATTGTTTATTGAGAAAATGATAAGATTATTGGAACTTAGCGGAAAACTACAGTACATGCAGCATATTATGAATTTTTCAGTGAAAAATAGCCAATTTTGAGATTTTAAAAAGATGTTCAGAATTAAACCTTCTCTGAAAATTTCAGAGTATACTGAACAAAAAAAGCTTCATTTTGAAATTAGCAACTTTTTTGTAAAAGTCCACTCTGATGAGAAAAATTCTGGAACACTTTTCGCGCATTTTAAAGTTGACTATTTTCTACTGAAAAAGTCAAAATGTGATATTTGTAATTCTTCAAAACTATTGAATTTTCATTGTCCATTTTTAAGAATTTCAAGACTTATGAGTTTTTGAAATTTTCAGATTAATCCGAGTTAGGAACATTTTTGAATCAATAAGCCTGCCTGATATTCTAAATTTTTTAATTCTGAAAATTAGAACTTTTGGATTTCAGAAATTCTTGAATAATTCCTGTGAACTCAAATTCCTCTGCTACTTCCATTCTTCAGGTTCCAAAATTGTTCCTATTTCTGTTTCGGATCTTCCTAGAACATCTTTATCCAGATGACGTGACTCTTTTTTACAAAAATCCCAAGAAAACGGAAACCCCATTTTCGATTCCTATCTTTTACCCATAGAAGCAACAATGCAATATCCCATCTTTTACCCATAGAAGCAACAATGCAAAAAAAAGAAAAAACAAGAGAAGAATTTTTTTCATTTTTTTTCCCTCTTCTCACGAGTTTCCGCTTTTAAAAAAGAAAGACGCAAAGCCTTCTTTTTTCCAACGGATTCATCTTTTTCGTCTCTAGAAGAATCTCGAATCTCTCTTCAAAATCTGATAACGTCTTCTTCTTCTTCTTTTTTCTTCCCCAGAATCCAATCCATTAGAGTACTAAGCTCTCTCCCTCTTTGGAAAAATGGAGAAAATGGAAAAAAAGTGGGCGGAGCCTGGGTTGATTCGAATTAAACTAGTCACTTGCTGTTGCGAGCTACCTTCAGTTTATTTCTAGTGAAGCAAAAAAAAGATAGCGGAACCCTGAAAAATGCTAAAAACGAGCCGCCCGAGATTCATGGTCCATCAAAGGTCCCATTCTACATCGAGGTATGTTTTCGTTGAATCGATTCACAAAATTCGAAATTCTGAAATTCTGAGATTATGGAAGGATTCGCGATTTCGAGATT